AGAGCAGAGAAAAGTGGCAGGGTTGCTCCCTGCCAGAGATGGGCAGCTGGAGAAGCGAAGAGCCTTTTAAAGGGCCAATGCATAAATTTTTATTTGCAGCCACTTACCCTGGTCTCTGGCAAAGGCAGAGGCAGAGTAGGCTAGAGATACCTGAGGAGAGACTGGAGAAGGAGACTTTGGGGAGAGAACAGAGAGAATAGCCAGCGAGATCCCAGTGCTGACTCATCCCCCATGCGGCCGCAGCCATCTTGCTCAGGCAGATCACTCCCTTGAGTGACAGCAGCATAGGAGGACCCAGGAGCCCCACCCACAGGAGGGATGCAGCTCTGGCCTGGTGGTGCTAAAGCCTGACAGCTGAGTACAGAGTGGCAGCCTCAGATAGTATATCCCTGGCTAAAGGGGGCACAGAGTGGTCTAGAGATACTTGAGGAGAGACAGGAGACGAAGGCTTTGGGGAGAGAATGGAGAGAGTAGCTGACAGGATCCTGGTGCTGACTCCTTCCCCATATGGCAGCAGCCATCTTCCTCAGGCAGACCACTCCCCTGAGCAGCAGCTATGTGAGAGGACCCAATAACCCCACCTCCAGGAGGGACTTTGCCCTGCCCTGTGGTGTCCTAGCCTGACTACTGAGTGCAGATTGACTAGATTAACAACTGAAGGAGACAGCCACAGACAGTAGATTCCTGGAAGTCTCAAACAGACTGACTAAAGTCAGACAGGGTCAACATCTGACATCATCAGAGGGAGATCCAGAAAGAAAAAACAGCAGCCTCCTACCATAGAAGTTCACACCACAAAGTCAGGAAATCAAGACAGATCAGCTTAAGAAGCAGAAGCAAAAAGAAGAGTCTCACAAATAATGAGAAGACAAAAAACCCTCCACCCCCCAGTCAAAGGGAAAGGAGGAATCACCAGAAAGAGAACTAAATGAAATAGAGGCAAGTAAACTATCAGATACTGAGTTCAAAACAATGGTTCTAAAGAAGCTCAATGAGCTCAGTGAGCTCAGAGAGAATTACAAAAAACTACAGGGAAACTACTAAGAACTTACTGCAAACTGTATCAGCATGAAAAAGGACATAGAAACTATCAGTAAGAGACAAGAGGAAATGAAGAATACAATTTCTGAATTGAAGAACACTGTAGAAGGAATAAAAGTAGCTAGATGAAACAGAGGAATGAATCAGCGAGCTAGAAGATAAGGTAGAAAAAAGCTCCCAGAAAGAGCAAGAAAAGGAAAAAGATTCAAAAGGAATGAAGAGGTAGTTAGGGAAATGCAGGACAACCTGAAACATTATAATATCTGTATAATAGGGATACCTGAAGGAGAAGAGGAGCAAGGAATAGAGAACCTGTTTGAAAAAGTAATGATGGAAAACCTCCCTAATTGGAGGAGAGAAAAAGTCACAAAAGTCCAGGAAACACAGAGGGTCCCATTCAAGAGGAACCCAGTAAGGCCCACTTCAAGACACATGATCATTAAAATGGCAAATATCAAAAAGAAACAGAGAATCCTAAAGGAAGCGAGAGAAAGAGGTAGCAACATATAAGAAAGTCCCAATACAGCTAACAGGTGTCTTCTCAACAGAAACACTGTAAGCCAGAAGGGAATGACAAGAAATATTCCAAGTCATGAAAAGCAAAGGCCTGCAACCAAGGCTGCTCTACCCAGCAAGGCTCTCAATTAAAATGGAAGGTGAAATAAGGAGTTTCCCAGACAAAAAGTTAAAAGAGTACACCTCCACCAAACCAGCATTGCAAAATATGCTAAAGGGACTGCTTTAAGAAGATGAAGAAAAGGAGTCTATGAATACTCAGTTCCTTTCACAGTCACCAATACTTGATAGTACCAATATTTTTAATACTTATTAATCTGACTGTGACAATGATGTGTTATTTTAATTGTTCCTTTATTATTTGTTGAAACTAATCCCGTTTTTGTATATTTCTTGCCTATTTCTAATATTTTGAAAAATCTTTAAATGACTTTTGGTTCTCTTTACCCATTTTTCTACTAAATGTTTGTACAATTTTTTCCCTAAAATCCCCCAAAAAACTATTAACCCTTTTTTAGATGTGTTGCAAAAACTTTCCTATTCTAATACTTGTCCTTTAACTTTTTTAATATGTCTATTACTGTATAATCTTAAATGTTTGATACAGTCATCTTGCCAATATTTTACTTTATAGCTTCTGGGTTTGAATATTTTATTTTAGGGTAAGAAAAATATTAATTTGTATTTTCTCCTAATATTCCTTAGATTTTACATATTGATTTTTAACTCACCTATTTTTTGTATAATGTGAGAAATAGGGCTCTATATTGGTTTTATTTCAAGTAATAGTGGTTTATGCACCTTATTTGTTGAATAAGCCTTCCTTTCTCCATTGATTTGAAATATCAGTTTAATCATATATTACATTTTTAGACAGATGCGTATGTTTGTTTCTAGAATGCTCATTTTATTTCATTGATCTACTTGATTATTTCTGTGCTGGCATCACATTTTAATTGCTGAGACTTTATAATGGATATAAATTTTTTAATATTTTATAACGGATTTTGACATTAAAAAATAAGTAAATAAAATCAATCTGCAAAAAAAAAAAAAAGAAGAAGGAACCACCTTTTGGGACAACATGGATGGAACTGGAGAATATTATGCTAAGTGAAATAGGCCAGTTGGTGAAAGACAAATACCATATGATCTCACCTACAAGTGGAATCTATTCAACAAAATAAACTAATGAACTAAATAAACCACAGGCATGGAAACATGGAGCAGACTCAAAGTGACCAGAAGGGATGGGGAAGGAGGACAATGGTGGAAAGAAGGGGAAGGGACTAGACAAAGAGCATGTATGAATGACCCATAGACATGGACAACAGAGTGAGAATTGACTGCGGGAGCAGCGGGGTTGTGGGGGAGGGAGATGGGTGGAGGAGGGAGATGGGAGGAGGGAGATGGGAGGAGGGCGCAGAAAAATTGAGACAACTGTAATAGAATAAACATCATTTAAAAAAAAACAACACAATTAAAAAGAAAAAAACCAAAAAACAAATCTAGTCCCTGGCAAGAGGGTGCTATTATCCTTAGACCAGTCCAGACCACCCCTGGAGCAGAGGAGGCTGAGCTACCCCAGCTGTGGGTAAGAGGGAGTTCTGAACAAACATCAGGGTTCTGTTGGAAAGGAAGGAGGGAAAGGATGTTGAATAGGTAAAGAGCTCACTTAAAAAAAATAAATAAAAAGATTTTATTTATTTTTAAAGAGAGGGGAAGGGAGGGAGATAGAGAATCATTGATGTGCTAGAGAAACATTGATCAATTGCCTCTCACACACCCCCAGCCAGGGACCTGGGCCACAACCCAGGCATTCCTTGACTGGAATCCAATCACTGACCTTTTCACTTTGCCAGACAACACTCAACCCACTGAGCCACACCAGTCAGGGCAAGAGCTCCCTTTTTTGTATTCCCAGTATTTTGTAGGCATACTTAAGTATAAAACAAACATACAAACAAACAAAAAAACACCCCCTGCTCCCTGCCCCCACACATACTCAAAAGTTTATCTCAACAGTAAGTTTCTAGAAAAAGGAAGTATGTTTCATTCTTGTTTATACTACTCCTAACTTTTAACTCAATCCTGAAGGTGGTAGGAGTTCAAGCTGTTTATCAGTAAGCCTTAGTGAAAGAAAATGGCCTAAATTGTTTAGCTTCCTGGATTCTTTTGTAGATTGCTAGATTTTCTAGCTGATCAATTTCTTTGACTCCCAAAACTTAGAGCTGCTGGAGTGTACACAGGAAAAATTCCAGGTCCACAGATTTACATTTATTCAATAACTGATCTACTAGTGACTTTTCTGGAAAAGTAATCATACTGAAGTCCTTAAATTTCCCTTTTCTTACCAAAATGAAGAAACCAGAGGGTGACGTTCTGCTTTTCTAGGGGAACAGTTATCAAACTTGTAAGTTCCAAATCATCCAAAAATTTCAAGGTTCTTTACTGTTAAAAACTAAAGATAACTACTGATTTTTTAAAATAGCCTATTTCCAAAGATGTGAACGTTTCATATCATCCATGGAGATTTGTTTCCGAAGGAGAAAATAAAAAGCTTCTAAATTTTCATCACTACGCAAACTTGGGTATCTCTCTCCTCATTCTATTGGAAGATACTGTTTAAACGGTTTTGGGCTGTAAGGTAATACTACTTCCACTTTCTCCTCAGTAAGGCTATTGACAAAGTCACTGCTTGGCAATACCAGTTCACACTGATAAACGTTGCTTGCAGTCTTGGGGGTGAGTGAACAGGGGCCATTCTTGTGACTAGGGACCAACCACTAAACCACTCAGCCTCTCTTGCAAAATGGGTATTATTCGTTGCTTTCGTCATGGCCTCATCCATTCATTTCTCCAAACTTTCCAATTGATCGTTCATTCCGCCTCCAAATGGACCACGAATTTAGCAAAAGAAGGTGTCTGCCTGGGGTTGGGGAGAGGGGGACCGTGGACCCCTGTCACAGTCTGGGGGCGGCTTGGACCTGCGCACCAAGTCCCAAGGCCATAATGCTGGTCGCGACCCAAGGATGCGGTTGCAGGCATTGTCGAAGGCGTCAAGCTCAGGCTTCGCCCTCCCGGGGAGAAGTGGGAGCCAAGTGATGGAAATGCAGTACACCGGCTGAGTCATCGCGACCACGACCCCTGAAACACACTGCAATCCCACCCGCCTGAAGGTTGGGTGGAGCACGGAAAAAGTGGCGCAGCCTCAAGGCTTACGGTGGACAACTCCCGGAGAGCGCGCGTTTGGCCCATCCGGGCTATTTCCCGGCCTGCAGAACCGGAAATGGACCCCGGGCGCGCGCCCAGGAGCGTGTGGGCGTGGCCGTTTTCCCGGAAGTGCCTGCAGCTGTAGCGGGGCTCTAGTCCCTGCGTTCTTCGCAGTTCCTTAGCGTAGCAGCCGCCTCGGAAAGCAGCGTGGGTGCAGCTGCGGTGGGAGAGCGGGGGGCGAGGGCGGGACCCAGGGAGGGCATTGATCTCACGTTGCATAGGGAGGTAGAGGCGCTGAGGAATAGAGGGAAGTGAGTTTGGCTAGCCCGCTGGCAAAAGCGTTGTTCCCTAGTCCCCAAAAGGAGGGGTGATATGGACGGTCCCCTAACTCCCAGGGAGTCCGCAAAATTCATAGCGGAAAACAGTCGGGATGTGTTCATTGACGGCGGAGGCGTGCGGCGGGTGGCCGAGCTGCTTATCCCCAAGGTCTCGGGGCCGGAGTTACGCCTGGAGGCCTGGAAGGCCCTTCATGAGCTGAACCCTAGGTCGGCCGACGAGGCCGCAGTCAACTGGGTTTTCGTTGCGGACACGCTCAACTTCTCCTTTTGGTCGGATAGCGATGAGCACAAATGTTTGGTGGGGTACAGGGGCAGAACCTACAGCGGGTATTGGTCCCTGTGCGCCGCGATCAACAGAGCCCTGGACGAAGGTTGGTGCCCTTTTTGCTGGTCAGACCCTGTATCCTTTGAGGCTTCATTTTATTGGGAGAGGCCCCAGGAATGGGCTGGAAGATGGAATAATGTGTTAATAAGGCGAACTTGAAGTTCTTCATTGCCAGCCTGTCAGCTTAAAATAAAAGTATGATAAGAAGCTGGCGTTAAATCCTTATTCAGTGGGAACTGATCCTAATACGTACTATCGGAGATAAGTCTGATGAAATCTGAAAAACAAAGGGGACAGATACATAACATTTTACTTTGTCAAAATACACTTGATGTAATATTACAATAGAAATTGGCGAATGAGTACACATGAACAAATAGAAAATGAGGGGTTTGCTTCTGATATTTTATTCATCCACTTTTAGTTAATTCCTCTAACACCCATTTAGTTTCATATTAACTGTGTGTTGTAAAAGCAAGGGCCTAGTGAATATAAAATCATGACACTGTTCCTCTGTTTTCTCCCCAAGGGATACCAATAACCAGTGCTTCGTACTATGCCACAGTGACCCTGGATCAGGTTCGGCATATACTCCGTTCTGACACTGACTTTCCCATGCCTTTGATAGAAGAGAGGCATCGGATTCTCAATGAAACCGGGAAAATTCTGCTTGAGAAGTTTGAAGGCTCTTTTCTTAATTGTGTCCGAAAAAGTGAAAAAAGTGCACAGCAGCTAATGCATCTGGTAGTTGAAAGCTTTCCCTCTTACAGAGATGTGACCGAGTTTGAGGTGAGCTGCTTCTTTTGGGGATTTTACAGTTCTGATCTTTTCATTGTCAACTCTTTTAATTGTTAACTTTTACTTCCGGAACTCCTTTTGAGAATAAAAACTTAAATTTTGAAGTTCGTTCCTGTGAAGGAGGGACAGCAACAATTAAGCAGTGTTTCAAAGACCTTACTTCTCTTAGCATTTCGCATCAGCATATTCCCTTTATTTTTTTGGCCTTTTTTCATTGTCCTTGTGAAATGTTTCAAACCTAAAAAAACAGTGGACTTTCAACATGATATTCTCTCTTCGGGATAAGGAGGTCCTTTTAATACTTAAAAACATTTTTGCTGCCAGATCTGATTGGGGGCATGCAAGAAGCAAGCAATCGATGTTTATCTTGCACATGGATGATTCTCATCCTCCCTTCCTCTCTCTCTAAAATAAATAAATAAAATCTTTTAAAAAATTTACTTCATTGAGTGAAAATAGAGCGCATACTAAATTCTCTCTAATATTTTTTGTAAAGTTCTAATGTATATATACTGTGCATTTTCCTTTTCATGCACAGGATACTTTAACAGTATTATTTGCATTATGGTACAAAAAATTTTAAAGAGATTTACTTTTAAACTGGTGAACATTTTGTATACCCTCCCAGTGTACACCTGGATTTTGTTTTTGTAAAATTTTTAGAATTTGTTATCACCATGTATTTTAACTGTGACAAGAATTGAAAATAACTTCAGCAGAGTCACATAGTTTAATCTATGTCAGATTTCAATGTTAAAGCTACTCTTTTGTAATCACAATTCAACAACTAAAATTATCAACAATATTGGTTAAATCGTTCTTTATGATTTACAGGGTGTTTGCACATACACTTTCATTTGAGCCATAAAACAGCTCTGTGGGGCCTACGGACACAGAACAAATTTTCCCCTTTCCATCAGGAACCAGTCAAAAAAGAAAGTTAAACTAGTTTGTCTTAGGTCATTTAGTCAATAGCTAGCTTTTTAGTTCTACTGTAAAGTGAGAGGTGGCCTGTTTATGTGTATAAAGATTCTTTTAATTGCAAGTGACAGACACAAAACTAGAAAGGTCTTAATCAAAAGGAAGAATTTTTGGATAGATATTGTGGATAGGCACATCCAGGATCAAGGACTCATTGCCATCAGGATTCAGTCTCTTCTCTTAGCTTCTGTTGACTCCATTTTTCTCTTATTGTGGACCAGCTTTCTCCGTGAAGTAGACAAGCTTTTTCCATCTTACTGCTTCACCACCAGAGAGAGGGAGTGAGAGAGACTTGTTCTCAGGTTCCTCTCTAAAACTCCTGGGCAAGGGATGATTGGACAATCAGGGATTATGACCAATGAAGTGTGGCTTTCAGGGGTATGTGGATGAGGCAGAGGCAGTGGCAATTCCTGGAAAAGAGGCTGTAGATCAACTTCCTGTTGAACTTCATTCTGTTTTGATTAACCATTTTGCTAATGCAGAGGCTACTTTGAGATTTATCCTTGTTTTCAGAGTATGTCATTTCAGCCTTGTTTTTCAAGAAATTATGGATTCAGCTCCTCAGCCTAATCATTCAGGCCACTTGAATATACAAGGTTGGACTAAAGTAGGTTTACAATATGAATATGTGAAACACGGAGTTTGTTCTTGTATTATTATTTATTAATTAGTGTATTATTTTCTATATAAACAACCGTAAGCCTACTTTTTCCCCCATCATGTATTAAACAGTGTGTAGAAGAAATCAAACTGCCATTCACATTGCTAGGAATCCACATATTCCAGAATCCACATGATTGTAGTAGAAGATGGACTGAAATTAAATTTAACATCGATGGATGAATTCTTGTCCCAGCTGTTACGGCTCACTTGGTTGGAGCATCATCCCATAAACCAAAAGGTCACAAGTTCCATTCCCGGTCAGGGCACATACCTGGGTTGTGGATTCAGTCCTCAGTTGGGGCACGCTGATCAATGTTTCTTTCGGTCCCTCCACCTCCCTTCCTTTCTCTCCAAAATCAATAAGCATATCCTCAATAAGGGGTGAGGATAAAAAAATACAAAATATCAACACTTTTTGAAAGGAATATTGTATTTTTTCATTTTTTTCAATAAGACTATTATTAGTGTTACCTAAAGCACTATATTTCTGTAATCCCTATGATACCTCATATTAACACTGAGCACATAGTGAGTGCTCACTTAATGCTTTGATTAGTCAATTTAGTTATCTTTATATAGTCATATAAAAGATACACAAATAATTAAAGCACTTTGTGTAATTCCAAATCTGGAAGAATTCTAATGAACAATTTTGGGACTGCTTCAAAATTCAGAAAATGTTAAAATTAAATATTTTTATTAATGGTTTAAAATTTTCTAATTGCAAAAGTAAAACATTAAGTACAGAATTTGTAAAGTACAGAGAAGCAGTCTATTGTACTAGGAGGAAACCACTGATTAAAATTTGGTCTTTTTCTCTGTGTGTGTGTGTGCATGTGTATACATGCAGGCAGGGGAGAATTAGTATCATGAAGTATAAACTCAAAATTTAACATATTATGAACATCTTTCTGTATCAATAAAAATTTACAGTACAATTTTTTAGTATAATTTTTATGGCTTCACGGTATGACAGTGTATGGATGCACAGTCCCATAACTATTTTACCACAATCATTGTGTTTGATACACAGTTTATTTTTTAAATTAAATTTTATGTCTTATTGTTTTCAGTTTTATGTGATAATAAGCAATGCTGCACAACAGTTGAACATCCATAATTATTTCCTTAGAATGGATTCCTAGTAGTGGAAATGCTGAGTCAGAGCATAGCCAGTATCTTCCAGCTTATAATGCATAAAATGCTAACTCTTCTTCAGAAAGATGATAACAAAGATGACCATCAGCAGCATGTGAGAGTGCCCTTTTCCCTACCCCTTCAGAACATGGTTATGGTATTTGTTGCTATATTTTAAAATCTTTAACAAATTGCAGAAAAATAATCATGATTATTTTTTAATGCATACTGATTTACTGAGATTATCATTTTTAGATATAAACAAATTAATGTACTTAGGAAATTTTAATTCAGACAGATTTAGATTGGTGATTTCTCAGCCTGGCTATGCCCCAGTATCAGTTAGGAAGCTGTAAAATTCAGTTAGATTTCCAGTGCACCACCCTCAAAGATTCTGATCAGTGGGAAGAGCTGTTATTTTAAGCTCTTCAGGTGACTGATTTAGAGGATGCAGTACTATGTAAAAGTCCTAATTAATAAATTGGCTTCCTTAGTCTGTCATCTTTACTCTGACATACTGTTAAATATGCATGAAAAATAGTTTTTAAACATTTTAATAGATAATGTTTTATGCTACTCATAAGCATTTGTAATTCTTGATCTTTCTAATTTGTGATAAATTTGAAGATAACTCATGGTCATAGCGTTTTTCACTGTCAATCACTTTAAAGGTACTATTTGGAAAAATTTTATTCACAAAGCAATATTATGGAACATACAGGGAATTATTATTATGGGATTTGCTGGTATTTTCAGTAATATCAGTTAATATTTTAGAGATGTAGAATTTGATTACTAAGATCATTTGATTATTAAAACCATATCATCTTTTAAGAAAATGTTTTATAGGTGATTTAAATTTATTTTTTCAGTCCTCACTTGAATCGTATATATTTAAGGAGTATCTTAATTAATTTTTTAAAAAAAGGATTTTATTTATTTATTTTTTAGAGAGAAGGGAGGGAGGGAGAAAGAGAGGGAGAGAAACACTAATGTGTGAGAGAAGGACCTGGTCCGCAACCCAGCATGTGCTCTGATGGGTAATCAAACCAACAACTTTTCAGTTCCCAGGCCGACGTTCCATCCACTGAGTCACACCAGCCTGAGCTAATCTTTATGATATAGTAGTTGGTTACCATGGAAACAGTTGCCATGATGTGACAATTTATGTTTTGTTAGAAGCTAGCACTAATTTTGTTATATAAATCTGGCTTGTAGATTTTTTAAAGATGTATTTGGTTTCAGAGAGAGGGAAAGGGAGGCAGAAAGAGAGGGAGAGAAACATCCATGTGTGAGATAAACATGTATCTGTTGCCTCTTGGTACCCCCAACTGGGGACCTGGCCCACTGTCCAGGTATGTGCCCTGACCAGGAATCAAACAGGGGATCCTTTGGTTTGCAGGCCAGAGCTCAGTCCACTGAGCCACACCAGCCAGGGCTGGTTCATTGATTTTTTTTCCAGTTTGCTCTATGAATCTTGTTAAACATAGAGTAGTTTCTATCTGTCATAGTAAACATTATGATATAATAATTGTATTTTATATACAATTTTATTTTGTAAATTGTTTTATGTCTTGCTGTTTAATAAACTAGACTTGAATTAGAAACCTAATTACCATATATAAGTCTAGTTTATATAAAGGAACAATTGCCAGGTTGTCCTACTTTGATAGGTTTGGAAATATAGGTTATTCCCAAATGCTATAGGATACTTATTAATGGTGATTTGTTCCCCCAGCATTCAATTTTACAGACTTTACACCTTGTCAAAAAAATGAGCAAATGTGTTTGCCCTGGGAAAAAAAATACTGAATTTCTTAATATTGGCCTTAGAAAGTTTAATTTAGTTAGTAAAAGTTGGTCTGGATTGATTGTAGTAGGTGTGCCTTATGCTTAAGCAACATTAGGTTATTTCTCACTAGAGCACAGTGTCACTGGAGTTTTTTCAGAAAATAAAGGAATCTATATTGTCATCTCAAGGAATTTTTATATGGAGCCTTTCCTTGAAGAATTCAATTTTTATTTAATTACTTATATCATTTACATATTAAAACATTCTTACTGGTGATCAGGATATATTTTGGCAGCCAGTGACATTGATTATTTCTGCCTATCAGATAAGCAATTTTAAAAGATGATTGGGATTATTACCACTGGTGTTAGGACTAGGAGTAAATCATAATTACTTGTTCTGTAGTCTTTACTGATCTATACTTGTAGTTTTGTAGAGAATTTTTAAGTTAAATTATAGCCCACTATCTTATAATGCTTTATTAAATTTGTTTCTTCCATACATAAGTAGAATTGGTAGTTTATTTTTGTTACATATTGACTTTGACTATTTCTAAAAATGGTTGACTGGACAAATTCTGACTGTAGATCATATTATCTGAATAAGATAATCATATTATCTGAAAGGAAACAGGTCAAAAAGGAATGTGATTCTCTTCAGAGGTGAGTTTAGGGATGATTATTTTTTCTTCATACTTTTCTGTATTTTATACAATTAATGTAAATTATGTTGCAATTAGAAAAACATTTAAATTCAAGAAACTTACTAAAGAAATACTATTTAGCTATTAAAATTAATAAATAGGTGAATTATAGTGACACAGAAATACGTACATGAAGTAGTGACGTTGAAAAAGAACACTAAATAGTACCATGATTACATACATTGTATTTTATGTTCCTTGAAAAATACACTATGTAAATTTGGAGTGATAGAGATAATGTAGTATTTATTAGAACCCCCCCACCCCATTTTTCTGTAAGAGATCTCTAAATTCTTATCAACAGAGTAATATTACTCTCCCCTTGAAAAATATTTTCAATGTGTGTCTTCTTTTTATAACATTTCATAGAGCTTTCAGATTCCCAGGTAACATTTATATTCTCTCCATTTGTCAGGGGAAAAGAATTTCTTTTTACAAACGGGCCCAAATCCTTGTGGCAGATACATGGAGTGTGTTAGAGGGAAAAGGTCTCGGCTGCTTTAAGGACATCTCCAGTATTACCATGTTTGCTGACTATAGATTACCTCAGGTTCTTGTTCACCTGGGAGCCTTGAAATACTCTAGTGAACTACTGGAGAAACTTCTCAAAGGTTTGTCAACTTAATTAAGACATTCTTCATTATACTCTAAGTTATTGTTGAGTCTCTAGTTTCTTTCACAAAAGGTCTCCTTTCCTTATATAAAAGCACTATATGGTTAAAAACACATGTAAAGAAAAATGGGAGGGCAATTGAAATATGCAGAAAATTGCTTTTTGTTGTTTACACTGTGGAATATGTATAATGTGGGAAATTGCGCTATTTAGATATTATAATTTCAGAGCATCATAATAAAATATAAGTTTATGTTTCATGGTGTGTAAACAACACTAAAACAATTCATCAGGTGTAGTGTTTGAAGAATGTTAATTAAGCCAAAGAGCACACTATGAAGTGAAATAAAAGATGGGGCAGAGGTAATATGTACTGGATTTCGAGTCTGGGGGCTCCAGGATCTGCCACTGGGTTATCTTGCACAAGTTACTCACTTTTTTAGGCTTGTTTTTTTTTACCATTATTGATTCAATTATTGATTCTCAAGAATGGAAGCCTTATTATAATATATGAGTACAAATAATTGTGTTTGTGTGAAAATTAGCTTTTTGTTTTTTAAACATTTCTTTGTATAAGAAAAATAATTATACAGTATAATTTTAATGTTAATTTCTCTTTTGGGTGCAGTATTTTCAGCTACTCTTTTTTCTTTGTTTTTAAAAAAAAGATAGTTTTTATGACTGCATAATTTTCTCTTGTGAAATAGATTTCAATCACCCAAAGACAGAATAATACAGAATATAAAGGTACCATTATTCCTATGGTTGCTTCTACCAGGCTTTTATGCTGTCTTGGGCAATCGATTTTTTCTTTCTGTTTCCTCATTTGAAAAATAACAAGCCATTTTATGTTGTAATGCTCATGTCTCAGGTCATTAATTGTTGGATACCTTTTAAAGGGACGACTGTTAGCAGTCAGGGATCCTTTTACATACAGACATAGTCCAGCTGATATATATATATTTTTTCTTTGGCCAATGTATACACTGCTCATTCCGATCTCTAAATATCCTCTTGCCTGGTTTCCTTCACCACATGTTTTTCTCAGTTAAAATCCTACATATCAACAAAGTTTTCGCTTTAGTGCTGCCTCTTTGACATAGCTTTTCCCAACTTTTCACAATTTTTCCTTCTCTTTCTCTTGAATTTTTATAGCACTCAGTTGTCTCTGCCACTGTGAGAAAAACCGTGGTGAAAAGGGACCCATCCAGCATAGTTGTACAGAGTGGTCTGAATTTTCTTCTACCATCCATTTCATCCTGAAACTCTTTTCCAGATGTCCATCTGCAGCTGTTACGGCCTCCATTTTGTCCAGCTTATAAAAGGAGACCGCTCTCCTTAATTAGTTTGACATAGGGTGAACAAACTTCTTTACCCCTTGTTTATTTAAACAAAATTGGATTTTTTTTTAAAAAGTACTTTATTAGCAAACTAAAAGAAACAGAAACTATAAATGTAAAGGTGTATACACTGATTTCTTTTTTTTTAAATCTAAAACAAGTGGCTTGACTAGATGAGGTAGAACTTTCCTTTCTTAAACTCCAGTGATACTTCTTTCAAACTTGAGGATGTGGTCCACTTATATCTCTTTTACTTTCCCTTTCCCTGGATATCTCCAGGACAGCACTTAGGAGCTCTCGGCTCCATATTCAGGCAGAACTGACTAAAGGATCCTGAATCCAAATAATGACCACATGGTTTTCCTTGCTCAAGTTAGCCAATTGAGCAAGTAGTGGCTTTGATTTTCTCAGTTGTCCTTGATGTACCTAAGGTGTCCCCAAGACAATATTCAGTTCTCAAGTGGGGATGGGAGGTGATGTTTATTTGGGCCCTTAGGAGTCCTCCAAAATTTGCAGTATTTTCCCCCCGACATTAAACCTAATTTTAAATCCTTTCTTTCCAGTAATTTAGTAATATTGTGTCATATTTTTATATTTATGATTACCTTATATTTATTTAGTAAATATTTATTGGGGAGCTAGTATGTGCAAGGTGCTATGCTAAGTCCTAGGAATATTGAGACAAACAAACCAGACATCATCCCTGTCCTTGTGGAACTGAACTTGCAGTTTTGAATTAATGCCTGAGTTTAGAAATGGTTTAAATTACTAAAATAAATAAAGTCTGAGATTTGCAGTTTTCAGTTGTGTTTTGTTCTATAGTAAAGCTCTGAGTAGATTTTATATCATTGACAATTAGTGCTTCTTGGTTTGTTTTTTTCCCCTTGCAGGAGAAATGCTCTCGTATGGGAATAGGCAAGAGGTGGAAATCAGAGGATGCTCACTTTGGTGTGTTGAGTTAATCCGGGACTGTCTTCTGGAACTTACTGAAAAAAAGGGTGAAAAAACTAGTGGAGAGATAAACTCCATTCTTCTGGATTATTACTTATGGGACTATGCCCGTGATCACAGGGAAGATATGAAAGGAATTCCATTTCATCGAACACGTTGCATATATTATTGACCCAAAGTGTAAAATGATCCAAAAAAAAACTTGCACTTTTATATTACATAATCATTTATACAATTTCACTTTGATATTAAGAGAAGATGGTAGGGTTAATTTCTCCTGACTTATCACTGTGATCACTGTGTATTCCCAAGTTTATCCTTTTTTCTCTTGTTTAGTTTTAACTCTGTTTTCCCTTTTTGTGGACACATGACAGAAATTGTGAAGGAACTTGAATGCTTTCTTTAAATCTCAGATTTCTTAAAATTAATCATGCCATAATGTGATTAATCTTCAGTGACAATATTTCATCTATTTAACTGGTATCTTTTCTGAAGGTGTAATTTTCTATATATCGTAATCATTTGGTATGAGAAGGGGATGGGTAGGGTCTTTGTTGTATAAATGCTGCTGCTCTTATAAAGATATCATCTTGACAGCTTAATTCCAGCTTTTTGTCAGTAATGACAGTTAGTTTTGCACATAATGATTTCCATTGAGGGTATCGGTCTGTCTAGGTTATTTTTTCTTTTTTCTTTTCCAGAGTAACTGCACTGGAACTAAATAAAGAATTTTAAAACTTTTCTTAAACCTGGAATGAATCATTTCATTAAAATAGAATTTACCTTTTATAATTTTAAAAGGTTTGCAGTGAATTTGGGTATTTACTTTATATTTCATAACTCTCATTACCTATCACGCATTTATTTCCCACTTTCACCCCCATCTTTTAACATAATCTTGTTTTTGCTGTTATCTGCCTTGTCAGCCCCCTGTGAATAAAAAAAAAAGGTGTCCTTTCCCCAAGTACTTTACTGCCATCTGCTGGAAACTTGTCATCATGACCTTACAAATGACAGTGACGGAATATGAATGCTGCACCCACCGCCGCAATCCCCACCCCAGAGGTGTGTACTGCACAACTTGCACCAATATAAGTAGTGGCTTTGTAGCTCTACCTCCCCTATGTGGAGCAGTTGCAGTTCTTGAAGAAATAGAAGTCTGCTTATAGAAAGGAAAACGAATGGTAGGCAGCCCAAACCACCTTGTCTTCCACACCTTTGTATGTTCAGAATTCTTCAGCAGGTGCGGATCATTTCAAGTTGGGAACTGCTAAAGAAGATCTAGGAAAAGGGTAAGGCTACATTCTGAGTTAGATTAAGTAAAGAACTAATCTGATTTCCTCTCTGGAGGTGGGAAAAACCTAATTACTCTCCCTCTTGCCATTTTTATTTTGACATTCTCTGGATGAACTAAGGGTTAGTTGGCGTATAAATCAGTATTCCTTGGTTGTAAGAATGTGATTCAATTATTAAGACTCAATAACTTTCAGGAAGCTTGAGTTAAATAAAAAACATTAGGTCACAATGCTATTTAATAAGTTAACACATATTTTGAGGGATGAAAATGGTATTTGGAAAGCAAAAATTTATGAGATCATAATCACACCACACTCAACCCCAAAATAAAATTCCTATTGGTTGATCAATTAATTATTCTCAAAATCAATAAATAAAAAAATCAAGTGTGTATCCTGCCATTTCTATATTAATTGCATTTCAGGATAATCTGATGGAGGGAAAACTCTATAGAATAATTTCAGTTAATAAATGCAAAAGGAATATTGGAATTAGAAAATTACCATTTTGGAATCCCTAATGAAATAATAGGCCTGGAAAATGATCATCAATGGCTGTTAAAACCATTAGGTAAAATGTTGATGGGAAACTTTTTTAATTGCTAGATTAGGCTGAAAGTACCTACTACTAATCTGAACATCTCTAGAAGTGGGATATACAGCCATTATGTGCCTGCTAGTGTGTTGTAATAGGAAGTACACAGTCCCATTTGTGAATTATTCTTGCCGGAAAAATCGAACCTGAATCTAATCAAGAATCTAGATCTAACTAGTTTACAGGAAAGTAGGAAATACAGGAACAAGTTAAATGACAACAGAAAGATGGAGCTGCCAAGTCTATAATGTGAGATATTCTAAAGGACAAATAGCATAGTTTCTTTAACAAATAAATGGTAAAAAAAAAAAAAAAAAAAAAAAAAAAAAAGTTGGGACTGGCAAGGATGTGGAGAAATTGGAAGCCTGTGCACTGTTGGTGGAAATGTAAAATGGCATAGCTGCTCTGAAAAATAGCATGGTAGTTCCTCAGAAAATAACAAATAGGAGTACCATGTGATTCAGCCATTTCACTTTTGGGTATGTATCCACAAGACTTGAAAGATGGATCTTAAAGAGCTATTTGTATATCCTTATTCATAGCAGTATTATTCACAATAGCCAAAAGTTGAAAGCCACCCAACTGTCCAAAAAGGTATGAATGGATAAACAAAATGTGGTTATTATTCCACATGACAGAATATTATTCAGTCTTAAAAACGGAACTCTGACACTTGCTACAACATGGATGAACCTTTACGACATTGTGAAATAAGCCAGTCACAAAAGGACAAGCACTACATGACTCCAGTATATGAAGTACCTAGAGCAGTCAAATTCTTAGAGACAGAAAGTACAACGGCGGTTGCCAGGGTTTGGGAAAAGGGGTGAATGGGGAATTGTTTAACTTAAGGGAATAGAGTTTCAGGTTTTCAAGATAAAAAGCACTCTGGAAGTTAGTTGTACAACAATGTGAGTGCACTTAACAGTACTGAACTGCATACTTAAAAATGGTTGATAGTAAATTTCATGTTATGTGTATTTTACCACAGTTTTCATAAAGGTGGAGGGTACCTGTTACTGCTTAAAAGAGAATTAAGCAACATATCAACCAAATACTACATGTGGACCATGTTTGGATCTTGATTCCAAATAAACAGAAAGAGAGGGGGTGGGGAAGACTAGCATTATCCTAATTCCAAAACCAGATATACTGCAAAGAAAGAAAATTATAGGCCAATACCCCTGATGAACGTAGACTCTAAAATCCTCAACAGAATATTAGCAGGTGGAATACAGCAATGCACCAAAAACATCATACACCATGATCAAGAGGGACTTATTTCAGGAATGCTAGGTTGGTACAACATTTGCAAATCAACGAATGTTATTCACCACATAAACAGAATGAAGGATAAAAACCTCATGATGATATCAATAGATGCACAAAAAGCATTTGATAAAATCCAGCACCAATTTATGATAAAAACTCTCAATAAAGTGGGATTAGAAGGAACATAAAGACCATATATGACAAACCCACTGCCAGCATCATACTCAATGGGCAAAAACTACAAGCTTTCCCCTTAAGATCAAGAACAAGACAGGGATATCCTGCTTTCACCTCTTATTCAGCATAGTACTAAAATTCTAGCCATAGCAATCAGACAAGAAGAAGAAATAAAAGGCATCCAAATCAGAAGGAAGACATAAAACTGTCATTATTTGCAGATGAGATGATAGTGTACATAGAGAACTCCAAAGATTCCACCAAGAAACTACTAGAACTGATAAATGAATTCAGCAAAGAAGGAGGACAAAATTAATATCCAGAAATCAGTTACATTTTTATATACCAATAATGAACTAACAGAAAGGGAAATTAAGAAAACAATCTCATTCACAATTGCTTTAAAAAGAATAAAATACCTAGGAATAAACCTAACCAAGGATGGATGTAAAAGACCTGAACTCGGATAATTATAAGACACTGAAGAAAGAAATTGAAGAAGATAGAAATAAGTGGAGGCACATACTGTGTTCATAGATAGGAAGAATTAATATCATTAAAGTGTCCATACTACCCAAAGCAATCTATAGATTCAACACAATTCTAATCAAGATTCTAATGACACTATTTCACAGAACTAGAACAAATATTTCAAAAATGTATGTGGAACCACAAAAGGGCCTGCATAGCAACAGTGATCTGGAGAAAGAACAAAGTTGGAGGAATCACACTATCTAATATCAAAGTATACTATAAGGCTGTAGTAATCTAAACAGAATGGTTCTGGCCTATAAACAGACACATAGATCAATGGAACAGAATAGAGAGCCCAGAAATAAACCCGCATATTTATAGTCAATTAATATTCAAAAGAGGAAGTAAGCTCATACAATGGGCTAACAATAGTTTATTCAATAAATGGTATTGGGAAAATTAGACTGCTATATGTAGAAAAATGAAACCAGACCACCTTCTCACACCACACACAAGAATAAATTCAAAATCAAAGACTTAAATGTTAGACCTGTAACCATTAAAATCGTAGAAGGAAATCATAGGTAGCAAAATCTCAGACATTGCTCGTAGCAATTTTTCATTGGATATATCTCTCCAGGCAAGGGAAACAAAGGAAAAAATAAACAAATAGGACTACATCAAACTAAAAATTTTTGCACAGCAAAGGATATCGTCAACAAAATGAAAAGATACCCCACAGAATAGGAGAACATATTCATCGATACATCTTATAAGGGGTTAATATAAAAAGTTTATAAACCCTGGCTGGTGTGGCTTAGTGGATTGAGTGCCAGCCTGCAAACCAAGAGGTTGCCATTTCAATTCCCAGTCAGGACACATGCCTGGGTTGTGGACTAGGTCCCTAGTGGAGTGCATATGAGAGGCAACAGAATCTCTTACACATTGATGTTTTTCTCCCTCTCTTTCTCCCTCCCTTCCTGTCTCTAAAATTAATAAATAAAATTTAAAAATAAATCTTAAAAAAATAAACATGGAGCCTCATGCCTTAAAAAATTCTATAAAGTATTTACAAAACTCAAAACCTAAAAAACAAACAACCCAATTTAAAAATGGACAAAAGACCTGAACGGACACTTCTCCAAAGAGGACATGCAGATGGTCAATAGACATATGAAAAGATGCTCAACACCACTAATCATCAGAGAAATGCAAATGAGAACCACAGCAAGATACGATCTCACACTTATCAGAATATTTATCATCAGTAAATCAACAAAACAACAAGTGCTGGCGAGGATGTGGAGAAAGGTGAACCCTCTTGCACTGTTCGGGGGAATGCAGATTGGTGCAGCCACCGTGGAAAGCAGTATGAAGATACCTCAAAAAATTAAAAATGGATCTGCCTTTTGACCCAGCTATCCCAATTCTGGGAATATATCTGAAGTAACCCAAAACACAAATTCAAAAGAACATAAGACCTCTATGTTTATTGCAGTGTTATTTACAATTGACAAGTTAATGGAAGCAGCCCAAGTGTCCATCAATAGATGTGTGGATAAACCAACTATGGAACATTTACATAATGGAATACTACTCGGCTGTGAAAAAGAACAAAATTTCACTGTTTGCGATGGTATGGCTAGATCTGGAGAACATTATTTTAACTGAAATAAGCCAGTCAGAGAGAGACAAATACCATATGATTTCACTCATGTGTGGAATCTAATGAACAAATTAAACTAACAAACAAAACAGAGACAGACTCATAGATGGAGAGCAGATGACAGGAAGTTGGAGTGGGGAGGTTACAGGGTGGAGGGCTTGAGCAACAAGGAAAAAGGACTCATAGACATGGAAA